TTTTTCCAGTTGTAAATCCGCCGTCTCCTACCCAAGAAGAAACCAGAGTGATGATGCGTGGCGGGATCGTTGGTCGTNTAACATTCCAGTCCTCGTGTCCTACCCAAGAAGTAACCAGAGTGACGATGCGTGGCGGGATCGTTGGTCGCGTTGCTACCAAATTCAAAATTCTGATCTTTCCACCGATCCCTACTTCCTGCATGGTGTTGAACAAAACTGACTCTGGAACTTCCACCTCGCTTGCTAGACGTGTTGTGCTTGTGAATTTGTATTCAAAGAGCAGCCACTCTTTCAGCTTGTCTTCCAGCGGCTTTCGCAGTGAAATCTCCGTCGATATTTCGCTCAAACAATGCATAACCAGCCGTTGGTGCGTAGGACCTAACAAATCATGCGGTTTGGTCCTCGATCGCTTGGAAGAACTTCTCTGCCTTGCCCTTGGCATCAAGCAAGCCGGCAACAAAGCGCCATAGGATGTCGTAACGGGCTGTGTATTTGTTCTTGCCAAGAAACTGGATAGCCTCGATGATAGTAGGATTTTCATTCTTCTGACCATTGAGTGCCAGGTATTCGAGTGGTTTGTTAGCCTCCCACTGCCGTACAAAATACCGAGCCGCAAAGTACTCTTGATAGGTCAGATGTAGAAAGTGATAGGTTTTGTTACTGAATTCCGCCGATGAATCTGATGTTCGGAGAAAGGAGAGGCACGGCACTGTCATAGTGGGTGAAATACCGTGGGCAAAGCGGTTGGATATTTGTCCGAGATGTGCTGATTCGAATTCAATTGTGTCATTCTGCAGTCCAGTAAAAGCAAGGCTTTCCAGAAACAAAATCTCCTTTAGAACGTGATTTTCAACTTCGGTCCGATCAGCCCGTTGGATGCGAGCTGCTGTTATTAGCTTGCCATCGTGCTTCTTTTCCAACCGCGGGATATCCTTCTTCCATAGACTTTGGTCGATGGCTCGGTAAACGTCCGTCACAGTGTCAAGCTTCGAGCTGTCATTGACGTTTTTGTTGTCCCAGGCAAAACAGAGCGCATCTAGCTGAACTGGGATCCGCATAAGGCCTTGGATAAAGCTACGACTTTCAAGAAACGACTGAGCGCAGTCAGCTGTTTGTCGGTCCTTGAAAGCCATTTTAATATAGTCCTTCACTTGTTTTGGGTAGAACCCAATCGTCTCCAATTCGAGATCCAGGCGAGTCGGAGGCTTGGCGTATGGCCGGGACGTGATGATGACATTCGGCCGATTTAGCAGGTTATTGAGGAAGGCGGACATATCGCCTTCGTTCAAGTCCTCCGATACCTCATCTAAGCCATCAAGGAGAAACAAAGTCCTGCTCCTCTTCTCCGGTGCATCGAGCAATGTATTGTATAATGCTTGGGAAAGGTGCTCTCCGTGATTCGACATAGAGAAATATTCATGACTGAAGAGGTTGATGTAGTTGTAACCGGCCTGGCGTCGTCTTTCTTCCAGCTTTAGGTTCCGCAGAGGCACCCACAGTACACGGTCGAATAATTCAGTCCATTCGGGCCATTCGCCACGAATAAACGAATAGACGATCTTCTTACACAGAGTAGTCTTCCCTACTCCGGCGCGTCCTCGAATAAAGATTCTTCTTGGTTGCGTTTTGCGACCGTCAGGTCCTTTGCGTTCCTTGAAGAGCGATGGTAAGTCGGCTTGAATTGTCTCGTCTGGCGTTTCTACCTTTAGTCGAGCGGTGAGTGAAACGGGGAAGATTGCGACACCGACTCTTTTTCTGATTTCTTTTTCGAACGATCTTTGTCTTCGCCGATCCGCTCTGTAATGGAAAGGTTGATGTAACACTGATCCATCGGCAGTTTCGTGCCTGAGAGCCGCTCAATCTTGAGCCTATCCTCAGTATAGCAGTTATCACGTATCCAGGCATCTGCTTGCGTGAGGGGCGTTCCTTCACAGATCTTTCCAATAAACTCTTTGATTTTTCCAGCAACCTTCTTGTAATCTTCGCATCCAAGGCTGCCGAACTTGTTCATCAGAACATGGGGTCGACTGAGTGGTAGTGGCTTTCGAACAATGTCTAGTCTTGCTGAGGAGCTATCAACTAGCTGGCAAGCGTTAGTTATAGTACGGGAGACGGTGGTACTTTTGGATTCTTACCGGTTTTCCTTTGAAGAACAAACCCGGTAGCCAAGGGAATATCTTGCGCCACAAACTCGTCCTTCCAAGTTCATAAAAGTTGAATACTAGCCAGTTCGGATGCTGTAGACACAAATGTGTGAATTCGGATACGAGCGTTTCAAGATCAGAGGTTGATCCCTTCACACTGCCGAGTAGCTTGTTCACTTTTCGGTCGCGGATTAATGCCCATGCGGTCAGACCTGGATCTGCCCAGTGAGCTACCTCTTGGAACGAAGTCCCTCGGAATGGGGTAGCAAGGAAGATAATGCCATGTGTTGCTGTTGTGAGGCGGGAACAGTTCTCGCTCTCTTTATCATTGGCGGCGGTCATAAGAGCCCTCATTAAGATGATCCCCCCAAGACAAGAAGCGATAAAAAGGATCGGTCTGTCTCTTGTCTTGTTCTTTACCAAGAGTTCTCTGTTGATGCCATCAATTAGGAGCGCAACGATCTCGTCATGAAGTTTCGGGACTAATTCTGACGGTTGAAGTAGGTTGGCAGGCCAGTCCAATGTAAAGATACGTGCCTTTTCTACGTCGACCGGGAGCAAATCGGCGAGCCAATTGATGCTAACGTTGGGGTTCCGCCGATCCCGCCATGTCCACGTATCCGGCGACTTCGTATCGAGGCCATGGATGGCAATGATGTCAATGACGGTGTCTCCATTATCCTTGTTGACTTGATTGAGGCGAACATCTTGCCCCGTGGATCTTGTGGAATCTGAAGTGAGCCTCGCCGGAGACGACGGCGCGGGACCGGGACCCGCGGGCGCACGGAACCAAAGCCAAGCAGCGGTCGTACAGACAAAAAGACATAAGACAGTGTTCCATACCGCCCAAGAAATACCTTTGTTGAAGTCCATGGTAATCAAGGTTCGGGTACCGGGAGAGGGGCTTGTACGGCCGTGACCGAGAACCGTGCTAGTATACCTGCACCGAGGATATTGCGTACTGGCGGACGTTAACGGGGCTACTCCCAAGTGGATGTTATTTCGGCCTTCGTGTTTGATAGCGTAAATAAAATGTTTGATAGCGCAGATGATGTGTTTGATACCGATCGCTTCTCGTAGGCAGGGGCTCAAATGCTTGGTGTTAAAAATCGAACTGGTTTGGTGATCTTTGCTCAGCCTCACGTAGAAGTAAGGCCGAAACGATATGAAGCGTCCATGACAATTATCTCGATCTGAGAGGTCAGATATGAAGGGTTTGGTGCTCGGTGTTGAGTTGGCTCATATGATAGGCTGGAGCCTTTGATTGGGTGCATCCGACCATCGAGACTAGCTTCGGCGGCTAGGTACACTTTTGGTTAGCCCACCAACAACGCCGGTAGGTTAGCGATTTGAGACTTTGGAGGATTGGTTGTACCCTATAGGGCATTTGCTGCTGCAGCTGAAATGATAGCCTGATGAGCTTTAGCTAATGAATTGAACTTTGATGGGCTGGAGG